TGATAATTCTTTATTGATAAATACATTTTTTAATAATCAAAATACATGTTTCTTTTCTCTTTCTCTCTCTCTTTTTTTTTTAGAGACAGGCTCTTGCTCTGTTGCCCAGGCTGGAGTGCAGTAGTGCACTCACTGGAGCCTCTAATTCCTGGGCTCAAGTAATCTTCCCTCAACCCTCCAAGTGGCTGAGACCATAAGTACATGCCACCACACTTGGCTAGTTTAAAGTGTTTTTTTGTTGTTTGTTTTTCATTTTGTAGAGATAGATTCTCACTATTTTGCCTAAGCTGTTCTTGAACTCCTGGCCTCAAGTGATCCTCTCACCTCAATTTCCCAAAGCTTTGGGATTACAGGCATGAGCCACTGTGATGCATAGTGAACAATTTAGAAAGGGAACAGACGACCAGACACGGTGTCAGTTCACTTTTGGGCATAGTATCCTTGAGTTGTAGGCTTATTTATCACAAATGTTTCAGCGCGGTTCTTAGACACTTCAACAGACTTTCTGTCAAACAAAGGTTAGGAATAACTTTTAAATTAGAAGGAAATAAAAACCCAGGCATTCAAGGTGTTATAGTTTTAAACAATCAATTATTTATATTTTTCTACTTAATTCAGCTATACTTTGAAAGAAAGTATCTTAGGCAAAAATGTCAAGTTAGAACATTTGCACTCTAATCAACTATAAAATTTATCCGAGTTACATATTGAAGCAACTCAGAAAAAATAAGTTAGTATTTGCTTAAAAAAATTAGCCAGGATAGTCCATATTTGGGGACAACATTTATTTGTAAATTAGGGATGAAATGAAGATCTGTTCATTCTTGGCAAGATTCCTTTTAATTTGCTAAAATTGAAAAGAGAAATTTTGGATTTTGCTTCTCAATTTAGCAAAGAGTCATGATGGTTTTCATCAGTTTTGCAATGTACATTTTAGCTGGTTTTAATGAAGACAAATTCTTCTCAATCAGGAGTTTCCTATTCATTAAGTGAGACAGATGTCAACTTTGCCATATTTTGTTAGAGCCAGCCTCTTGAAGCTGGTTGCCTCCCTTATTCAGATCTATAGCAATAGTATGGTTTATTTTTCTGGAGGAAAAAAATCAAAGAAGTCAGTATTTTGCTAGGGCAAAGTGTCAAGTTGTCTTCAAACAAATGAGCCAACCACCTCCCAGATTTGAAGTGGTAAGAACATGTGTTTTCATTTTAGGGACACATACTCTCACATTATGTGGCAGGTGGAAGGCCAAGATACTTGGGGACATACGCACATTTAGAGACTCTCCCAAGAGACGTTTGAGATTTCTCTGATGTGTGCTGTTCCACACCCCAAGACATTTTGTGTCCTTTGGTAATTTTCTAACCCTCCCTGTAACTTCCCTACTAAGATATTGCTGGCTTTGAAACATGACCAGAAGCTCAAATAAAGAAAAGCCAAGCTGGAAAGCATCCCAGCTTCCTTCAGTGCTGCACAAGGTCAACAGAAGACACTTGAGAAAGTGCATCATTCACACAAGACAGAAGGCATGGCCTGCGGAAGGGCTGGCCAAAGTTTACAAGACTCAATGCTAAGGTGGCTCCAAGAGGAAAAACACTGGCTTTAAATGTTCAACTCTCCATTCCAGTCAGCACTAGATGCTGAAGGGCAGTGGATGTCCTATCTTCAGTTTTGCCAGGGCCACTTCCGAGGAGAGCTCTTGAATCTAGAGCTACATCATCTCTTAAGATGGTGAAGATTCTGGACAATGAGTACAGGCTAAGGGATGCATTCATTTTCCCTTACTCTGCCCAGACACACAACTGCATCTGGAGAAGCTGAGGTTTGGCAAGAACATACAGTGCATGCAGTGACCATGTCTTTGCTGAAAACCCTACTGGATATGCACAATGCAGAGTGCGTTCTCTAAGACTGGAGGCAAAAGCAAGAACTGCAAGCATTCATTTCCATGGAACGATAAGTGCGATAGTACTGCACTGGAGTTACCCAGATTAACGGGTAACTGCTGAGTATTACTGTATAACTCCGAACTTCTTTTTTTCCTTTTGCCTTATAGAAGCATATCCCTCAAAGAGTTGCCCAGAAGATGAGAGGCAGGGAGAAGAAAAGAGAGAAGAGGAGGTGGGAGATCAATCTCACTTGTTTCTGATGAGTGGCAAATTTTCCAGAAGGCTAGGACGATCTTTATGGATTGCTGTGGTTGGGGACGGAAAGAGTTATAACTTCATATTTAAGTAAAGAAAAATTAAAAATGAAAACAGATATACCATATTAAATAGTTGCCTATATTGAATATTCATAGACAGATCACTAATGTAAGGATTTTCTCCTCAAAGCTGTTATCTGCACTTAGACAAAGTTCAGGACTCTGCAGTGTCTACTGGAAGTATGAACAAATTCATCTAAAGACAAAAAAAGAAACAAAGTTTAGTACGATACTGTTTTGTGAAATGTTAACCATGTTTTTTTGTGTGTGTATGCGTGGGGGTAATTAAGTGACAGCTTAAAATATTTCAGGACTCCTTTTATCCTTCTGTTTTACTGATTCTTTACAGTTTTGATGTTTTATCAGCTTTTTCAATAATCATAACAATACTAACAATAACTATTAGCATTATGACATTTAAATAAAAGTTATTTTTAAATTAAAGCACTTTTAAGTTTATTTCAAATTATTTAAACTTGGGCAACATTTTTCCCAGCTGCTTTTTAGGAAACAGAAGCGTTAGCTGTTTCCATGGGCTCCTCATAGTGCTTGAGTGGGTAGCAGGAGCTGCAGACAGGGTACAGGGAGTGATTTGACTTTATTAATAATAATCACCTCCTTTGATTGTGGAGTGCTTCACCATGTACTGAGAAGTTTTTTACATTTTCTGTTAAATTGTCACCTCACCTTTGGGAGGTAGGGGTCATAGTTCCACTTCACAGATGAGGAAAACTCCAGTGCAGAGATGTCAAACACTGTCCAAGAACACAGTGATGCATGGGACCCAAACTCCAACTTTTGCTCCCACGTTCTCTGTCCATTGGCCATGGCTTTTGCTCCTGTGTACAGATATAGGTTCTGGACAAGTTCACCAAATCCCCTAGGCTTCAGCCCCCTCATCTGCAGAATGGTGGCTTGGATTCTACCATCTTCAAGGGCCCTGTCAGCTTTTCTTCATTTTAAATTTGGATTTATTAAGTAGAATGAGTGACAGGAGGTTGTGAGTACTAACAGATTAAAGGGATATAATCTGGAGGCTAGGGAGTAAATTAGGTCTCCAGATGGCTCACTGTGGTTGTCATGAGCTTGGAGGAATGAAGGCAAACTTTGCCACATTAAGCTCTGATTTTTTTTTTTTTTTTTTTTTGAGATGGAGTTTCGCTCTTGTTACCCAGGCTGGAGTGCAATGGCGCGATCTCGGCTCACCGCAACCTCCGCCTCCTGGGTTCAGGCAATTCTCCTGCCTCAGCCTCCTGAGTAGCTGGGATTACAGGCATGCGCCACCATGCCCAGCTAATTTTTTGTATTTTTAGTAGAGACGGGGTTTCACCGTGTTGACCAGGATGGTCTCGATCTTTTGAGCTTGTGATCCACCCGCTTCGGCCTCCCAAAGTGCTGGGATTACAGGCTTGAGCCACCACACCCAGCTTAAGCTCTGATTTATAAAAGAGTCTCAGGAAACCTACAGGCTCCAAAAGAAGAACAAGAAAAAAAAAAAAAAGACTTTTACACACATACAAACATTTGTAACAGTTTTACGTGGTTTATAGATTGACTTCTTATAGATGTGCAGACTGAGTTAATAATCATGTATGCACAACTTTCTGACCCATAGGGGGCTTCACTGTGGTTGTTACACAAAGTGAGCAAAACTTATTTTCACTTAAAAAATAGTGATTGAGAAGTGTGAGCAGAAGCAATGTAAAAAGAGTATGTATTTTATATTGAGAACAGACAAAATTATCAGTGATGTTGAAAATTAGCACAGTGGTTGTCTATAAGAATGTAGGCATTGCCTGAAAGAGGGCATAAGGTAATTTTCTAAACTGACGGAAATGTTCTGCATTTTGATTGAGGCTTTGGTTACACGAGTGTGTAATCAAAGCTAATCAAATTGTACCATCAAAATTTGTGCATTTTACCATATGTATATACATTTTATGCCAATTAAAAAAACACAACTGTGATGCATTTTCAAGACAGTCCTTCCTATATCATTTTCTTGGTTATTGGGCTGGGGTAGGAGAAAGAAAGCCTAATGTTGCTCAAACATAAATGTCTCCTTTAGAAGTATTGATAGAGCATGCCACAGCATTTTAATGCTTGTTTTGAATGTCCCAAGAGCAAAGTTCTTGACTGGAGGTCTACGGTTGTGATTTCTGTTCCACAAGCCCATGAGCTGTATGTTTAGGTCTGACACCAGTGTCAGGAGTGGAATAATGAGTAGAAAATATGGACTTCAGAGACAACCACATTCCCTCCAAAGGAGAAAGGGGTTCTGCTTTTCCATGTGCCCACAATATGTATGTATAGGTATGTGTATATATATATATATATATATATATATATATATATATTGTTTTTCAGAATACAGAAAGAACAAGATATGCACGAATCTGAAAATTTAGATTGCTGTAACATTGTTCTGGGTTTTAAGAAGTGAAGAACAAAGGAGGACTTCATGTTTTGGTGTGTGGTGTTAAAAAAATGACCAATATTCAATCTGAAAGCTAGATCCATTATTTGTACCCATTTATCAGTTGTTACAGGGTCTACCTTGGTGGCTGATAACCACAGGTAATGTCTGCTAAAACAAATTCATCAGGCCTAGAATAACTTCAACAGTCAGCAGTGCTGACTTAACATCTCCATGACACACACTGAGATTTCTCTTAGAATTGACTGTAGAAAGAAGATTTTCAGAGACTTGCTTTTTCATTTTGCATGCCTCACATTAAATATTGCTGAAAATTTAAAACCAAATTGTTTTTTCTTTTTTTTTTGCAATTTACAAGTGTTCATATAAGAAGAAAATGACTAAAAAAATACCCACCCAAGTACCTAAAACTCATCTAGAGAACAATGCTAATAATACAAAGGCTATGACCGAAGAACTCCATGATTTGTGGGAAAGCTGGGAAGCACAGTTCAGCCCGTGGAAGGAACGTGAGGCGGGTCAGATCCACCGAGGCTCGCAGTCAGTCAGTGGTGCTTTGCTCCCTAAGTCAAGTTCAGCAGCCGCATTTCTGGTTCAATGTCATTACTTATTTCGACCTAAAACACAAAATACGAATTGCTTTCAAGAAGTTGAAGGTTGACAACGAAATAACTTTTATATTCATCCAGGCCTTTTGAAATGCAGAGTAGCTCCTGGGTGCACCTGGTGCTGTCTGACTGTAACAATAAGAAAGTTAGAGACTTGCCCCCCCCCCCCCCCCACTTTTCAGATTAGGGTGTGGTAACTGGGCATCATTATCAGAGTGCAGAATGACTTTCTGAGAGAAGAGCCAACCACACAGCAATTGTGGTGTGATGTGGCATTGTCGCCATTGCTTTCCTTAAGGGTAAAGATAGCAGGGTAGTGTTGTATCCCCAAACTGCTAGATAATTTGCATAGCCTGTTCTTTCTACAGCATGCTGGTGATGAAGTGCTCAAGATCATCCTACTCTTGCTTTCATAACACTCAACCATTGACCTATGTCCCTTACACACATCCCATCCTGCAATGACTACTTTTATGTGTCAGCTTGGCCAGGCCATGGTGTTCAGGTGTTTGGTAAAACTTCAGTTTAACTCTCACTGTAAAGGTGTTTTTTTCAAATAATTATTTAAAAAAGAGATTAGGGTGGATGACTGGCCACCGACTGGCCACCGGTCACAGCAAACCCTCTTGCAAGTTGCCATTTGTACTCTTGGTGGCATCATTCTTTCCTAACAAAGACAAAGATGCACAAACTGGATACTGCAGTGGTAACTCTGAACTGCATAAGCCATATAAACACAGCCATTTCACTGCCACATGGCCAAATAACCACACATCAGGATGTGTTCTTACAGTAGTCCCTGACATGCTATACCATTGTTACGATGCATCAAAAAGTTATTACTGTCAGTGACAAAAGGAAAGAGGTCCAAAGTTAGAAGAACAATGAACCCTAAATGTCACTGCATTTGTGCTGAGTAAGGCAGGCACACAGGGAAGCCCATCTTTCCTTCTGGACAACTAAAAAAGTGTTGAGTGCATCACAGATGTAGTGCTCTTGAGACAGCGCAGGAGAGTTAATGCCTCTGTTAAGTCCCTTCCTTTCCAGGGACTGATGGTGAGCCTCAGGGAATAGGCCTCCATGCTCAGTAGTGCGAACAGTGAGACAGCCATTGATATGAGTGGATCACAGTCACGTTACTCTGCATGCCACAGGGGACAGACAGCATGCAGAATTTTACATAGCTCAGCGTTGCACTCTATCTGGATAAATATAACACGTGAAGGCTAATCAAGGACAAATGAAAAGAGTATCGAGAGAGAGTTATCATTCTATTTCTCTTCAGGTGCCTCCAGCTGCAGTTTACTAGCACATGGCTGGTGATTGTTGGCTTTTAAATCAAGGCTTGAAAGCACATCACTCTACCTTCCCAACTTCTACACACACACACACACACACACACACACACACACACACACAAGCACACACACACCCTGCTTTGTCCTATTAGCTGGTGCTTAATCTACATGCTATAAATGCAAAATGGCCTGATCCCAACTTATGTATAGGGGAAGTAATATAAAACAGCTGTTCTCAGGAAAGAGCAGAGAGAGAGAGTTGACCACGTCTGCATCTGTCCTCCAGCCTGATCATCAGAGGTGGGTTTCCTGTGGACCAGGACTATCAGAGACAGAGAACAGGCAGTCAAAGTACCTGTGGAGCTGGCTGCAGGGCTACCCTGAAATAGGGATTAGCTTTGGCTGTGTCTAGTACTTAGTTGCAATAGCAGCCACTCAATCCACAGTGGCCACACAGCATGTAGCACTTTCTGTGAAGAAAAATTGGCCTCCAGCAAAGGCAATCAGACAAGTTAAGATACCAAAGAAAAGTCAGGTTCTCATTTGGAAGGCTTAGAAAAAGATTTGCTGAAAGTTATGGAGGAATCTCCGGTCAGCTCTCCTCAAGTCTTTCTTAACTGCAGTCATAGGCATCATCCTCATGGAAATTTCTGACATAATCAGATCCTGCTCTACCTTTGTTGTAGAAGTTGGTTCTGGAATTCCAGCTGCTGTCCTTCTTTGATAAACTGCCTTGCTCTAATTATTTTAATGTGAAGAATTACTGCTACATGGAGCTTAATCTTCCTGGTACCCAGTTGCTAACTGTTTGGATGGAAATATACAAGTCATGATTTTGACAAACTTCAATTTAGTTGCTCCCTATGATGTTTCTCTGACATTCCACATCACTTTGATAGTTGCATGTTTATGCCATGTTATTTTTCATCCAGAGGGGTAAATCTGCTTTTGTTAACCCTCTTCTCTTGGTGTTTCTGCTGCCCCTACTATGAGCTGATGTGCAGATGTCCTCTTCAAAGCCACTGCTGACCACTGGGCTCTGCGTTCTTATGATAAGAGCAGTCTTTACTCTGTCCTTTCATGGGAGATGCTGTCATGAGTGGGGGCAGTGACCGAGTGAAGACTCCATGGCAGTTACGGTGAGCGTTACACCGTTCCCACTGGTAGCTGTGGTAAGATATTGAACCCCAGCACAAATTACCCCTGTCCTATGTGTCACATGTCCCCAAGCCAGACCCAGATAACCACCACTGAAAGCATCTCAATAGCTTTAGACATAATGGTGGAGCCATGGCTGCTGAAGGTGTCCCAGTGTCTTCACCAGGAGCTGTCGACTCCTGCTCTGCTTACGCCTCTGCTTCCTAGCCGTTCACTCCCTTTATACAACTATGGCAAACACCAGATTAGAGAGTCATGAGCTTCAACTTTGTCTTCTATAGAATGGCCAAGCGAATCAGCCTCCATGCTGGGGATACCTGGTTTCTTCTGCTGCTTTTTTCCCCCCTTAAAGTCTTAATTTTTTTTTTTTTTTTTTTTTTTTGAGACCGAGTTTCGCTCTTGTTACCCAGGTTGGAGTGCAATGGCGCTATCTCGGCTCACCGCAACCTCCGCCTCCTGGGCTCAGGCAATTCTCCTGCCTCAGCTTCCTAAGTAGCTGGGATTACAGGCACGCGCCACCACGCCCAGCTAGTTTTTTGTATTTTTAGTAGAGACGGGGTTTCACTATGTTGACCAGGATGGTCTCGATCTCTCGACCTCGTGATCCACCCGCCTCGGCCTCCCAAAGTGCTGGGATTACAGGCTTGAGCCACCGCGCCCGGCCTAAAGTCTTAAATTTTTAAGAGCAGTTTTAGGTTCACAGCAAAATTGAGAGGAAGGTACAGAGATTTTCCGTATACTCTCTGCCCCCGCCCCTGCCCTTGCACAGCCTCTTCAATTATCAGCATTCCCCACCAGTGTGTTTCATGTGTTACAATTGATGAACCTACATGGATATAGTCACTTGAAGACCATCACTGACATAAGGATTCGCTCTTGGTGTTGTACATTCCATGAGTTGGGATAAACGTATGCTGAAATGTGTCCATTATTCCAGTGTCATACAGAAAAGTTCTGTTGTTCCAAAAATCCTCTGTGCTCTGCCTACTCATGTCTCCCCTCCCCCAACTCTTGATCTATTTACTGTATCCATAGTTTTGCCTTTTTCAAAATGCCATGTAGTTGGAATTATATAGTACGTATGTAGCTTTTTCAGTCTGACTTCTTTACTTAATAACATGCATTTAAATCTCCTCCATTCTTTTCATCATGCGATAGCTTATTTCTTTTTAGCACCAAATTATCCATGGTATGGATGTCCCAGAGTTCATTCATTCAGCTATGGTGGACATCTTGGTTCTTTGTTAAGTTTTTGCAATTATGAATAAAGCTGCTATAAATATTTGTGTGTAGATACTTGTGTGAACCAAAGAGCTTGGTATTTTGTAAATACCAAGGAGCTCAATTGCTAGATCTTATGGTAAGAGTATGCATAGTTTTTTTTTTTTTTTTTTTTTTTTGAGACAGAGTTTCACTCTTGTTACCCAGGCTGGAGTGCAATGGCGCGATCTCGGCTCATCGCAACCTCCGCCTCCCGGGTTCAGGCAATTCTCCTGCCTCAGCCTCCTGAGTAGCTGGGATTACAGGCACGCGCCACCATGCCCAGCTAATTTTTTGTATTTTTAGTAGAGACGGGGTTTCACCAAGTTGACCAGGATGGTCTCGATCTCTTGACCTCGTGATCCACCCGCCTCGGCCTCCCAAAGTGCTGGGATTACAGGCTTGAGCCACCGCGCCCGGCCCGAGTATGCATAGTTTTGTAAGAAACTGCCAAAGTATCTTCCAGTGTAGTTATATTTATTCTGTTTTTGATAAATTTTGTGCCATCTTTTCAAAGTAGCTCAACTGTTATTTCCCAGGGAAGCCTTTCCTCACCAAGCAAGAATTAACCTTTCCCCTCCTGCATAAAATTTCCTTGGGATGTTGTTTTGCTTCTACCCTTACTTTGTAGATATCTCCTTCTAGATCATTGGCTGCTGAAGGTCAAAGCTCAAGTATTATTTATCTTTATATCTCTAGCACTCAGGATGTGCCTGGTTTGCTCAGTGTAGGCAATCAATCAGTGATTGTAAAGTGAACTAAACTGATTGATTTAATCAGTGGGCTTTGACAGCTTGATATCATTACTTTAAAAAGAAAGAAAACATGAAAGACCAAATCCATATGTGAACCACCTTACCCCTATCCCAACCCCACTTCCTGTATACACATCCACATACAATTTGACTGTGGGCAGTTTGAAAGGTGTACGTTGTGATTATCAGCAGTGACACACTCAAACATGAGAATTAAGGCTTCCTGTACAATTCTGCAGTATTACCTAGAATAGGCTGTTGGCTGGAAACTATCCATATGGAGTTCAAAGCTACCTGTTCATGTACATGTGCCTGAGAATATGCTAAGGATTATTCTTATCCCCTTAATAAAGTGGCTTCCTCACAAAACCTGACTTTGTACTTCAAGGAGATGAAAGAGGCTTAATGAAAGTCAAAGCAAGCTTTCATTCCCTTCTCTAGCAATTTCACACAGAAGGTTGGAAACTTCACACTACGCAGCAACAGCTTTTTCTCCCAGCTGTTGCTGGGTAGTGATGTGGCATCATTGGGTTCAGTGGAATTTAGTATAACGGTCTTATTAAAAGAAATTTACTTTATTAAAAGTAAACTGATAGAGGCAGACTGGATAAATGCTGCAATACTTGCACACTGGTGGAGAGTACAGATACTGACTTCTTAAATTGTTTCATGCACAATAATTTCAATTCAGGCTTAGTTTGATATTTCAGATTTTTGCTTCCTTCATGGTTGAAAGGCATTCCATATTCATCTGACATGATAATATGCATAATCTGTCAAAGCAGAAGCTTGTTCTATTGCTTTCTGTAGAGAATAGCTTGTAGTTTATGCTATATTCAGCTATCCACTGCTAGGTCAGCAGTGAGCAGGGATGCTGAGAAAACCCTTCGAGAAGAGAGTGGAGTTTATCAAAGCCTTTTAGGTGATCTTAAAAACACGTTTCAGTGTTCTTGATTCACAGAGATGGAAGTGGCTTTAGAGAACATACGTGGAAGTCACTTGCCTCTGGGCCATGCCACGGAACACCCTTTTGAGGTACACAGGTACATGGGTGTCCAGTTTTTAAAAGTTATTTAAGAAGAAAATTTCATTATCAAATTTATCAAAAGGAGTTTTTCATAACTTTCCCTAATAGAAAGATCTCTCCTACATTGCAGCATTTTTCATATTGCAATTTCTCTGCTGAGTTTTTTTTTTCCCACAGTGGAGATGAAAGAAACCATTCATCATCCTCTTATGACATAACAAATAGATAAAGACTCTCTAAGTCACCACTAGGCATTGTCTTAGTTCTTTTCTCACTTCCAGTGCAGTAATCATCTTGATTATTGTCATAACCCCTGACAAGTTTTCCAAATCTACAAATATCAACTTTTGGAGCATATCATTTATGAGCACTCAGTGGTATGAATAATGAGGCGGTGACTGCTTGGCTCTGGAATGTTATATAGGGTGAATGCTTTTTCCAAATTGGATTTGCTTTAAGAAACCAAAATTTATTTAAACATCTATCATATGACAGGCACAGGGCTGATTTCTGTTGCCTGTGAGCTATGTTACTTTAGATCATTTTGTCAGGATAAAGTTAATTTAAGCTGGAGAGGTAGAGGAGCCAGTGTAGCCTTCTCAGAGCTTCAATCCTCACAGATGCTGGGTATGGGAGCTGCATATTTGGGGTAGAACCACTGTGGCAAAGAGGCAACAGGTGAAGCTTGTCACATGTGTTTGTTATACAAGCGACTATTTTACATAATTTCTTCTATCACTACGGAATTACAGAACACTGAGCTGAAAGAACAAAAGATCCTCTGAGCAAGTCCATCATATCAGGTTGGGTGACAGTTTGCCACCCAGGAAAGATCTCAGCTCCACAACTCACTAATAGTGGGACTTCGAGAAAGTTGCCTAACCTCTGTGAACCTCAGTTTTCTTATTTATAAAATGGAAATATTAATCAGTACATTGCAGTGTTTTCATGAAGATTGAGATCATATACGCAAAGTGATTAGTGTATGATAGCTTTATTAATTTATACAGTTGTATATGTGCTAGTTGGAATTTTCTAGAAATGGAGTCACTGTATCTATTTCCATGTTTCCTAGTATTTTACTAATCAGTGACTAAGATTTCTTTCTTGTACTCAACTGAAATCTAAGCAGTTTTAGGTGGTTTGGTTTTTGTTGAGTTCCTTCCATGTCCTCTAGGAACATAAAAAACTTGTTCCTGAACTTGTTAGTCAAGGGTTTGAGTACTAGGAACAGTAATAGGCAACTTTACCTATACCATACACACATTGTCTTAATCTATTTTCCCCCCTGTGAAACCACAGTATGGTGATAGAACAAGTCTCAGGGACATTGAGGAAGGCGCCTGGACCTCACATGGAGGGCCTGGATTCACTGCAGATCTTTCTTTCCTTTTTACTTTGCTGTGCTGCCCCAGAACACATATTCAGTCTTCATTCCTGCAGGTTAAATAATCTCATTCAAAAAAAAAAATTGGTAACCAACTATTGATAAGGGGAATAAGACAACATTATGATATTTGAAATATAAATCATGTCACCAGCTTCAAATCCTTTTTCGAATGAATAATAATAATGACGATGTTGGGTTACATGTGAAAGGTGTGTTTTAAATATGAGTGAAAAATTAAACCAATTATTATTAGTAGTACGTTCAAATTATATCACGTTTGGTTAGTTCTGGCTGAGTTAGAAGGATTAATATTTTCCATATCATCACACCTTTACTTACTGGTTTAACAGGCTTTAACTCAACATGATCCTGGTAGTAGGAGTGGGTATCAAGTCCACCTATGAAATCAACTGAAAATATAACATAGGCTAATATGAATAAGTGTGTAAAAATACAATACTAAATGTTTAAAGTAGAAGACATAAGAGCAAAGTTAATAAAAGTATCCATTCACCATAAAATGAGAAAAAATGTTTAGTAAAAAGGATACTAAAAATATTGTCAATGAGCCAAAAGGGGGAATTTAAGAAACACAAATGGATTCCTAGGGTCTAAAAAAATAAAGTGTCATTGGTTTCGGTAAGAAATGAAGTAATATTAAAAAGTATGAAATTTTAAATAACGTGTTTGTCCTTAGGCACACAGACATGCCCTTTCTCCCTATATATCGAAAGATATACTATCTCCTCTAGTTGCCAGAATTCTTTTTTTTTTTCCTTAAGAGTATGTTTTGCATCATTAGAAAGGCATTTGAGAAGCCAGATAATCCATCTCCATGCCTCTGTCCCCAAGCCACCTCCAAGAAATAGGCATCTGCCTTTTGCAAACTTTTCATTTCCTCCCTAATGGCAGAGTAACTGGCTGTCTGTATAGACTCTTCATCTTCGTAATATTCTTTCCAGTTTCTTTTGGTTTTATCAAAGCCTCAATCTTTTCTTCTCCCAATTCTAACGTACATGTATCATCTTTGTTTCTCCTGTTTCATAATCCATTAAAGATACTAATTACTTGAAACCAAGATTTGGTTGTATTACAGCACTCTAACATTAACAGGCATACAGGTATGGATGGAGGAAAACTGAACTCTCAGGAGTGTGTGTGTGTGTGTGTGTGTGTGTGTGTGTGTGTGTGTCTGTGTGCGCATGTGTAAATGCCAAGCAAGTTTGCTAAGTGGAGGATATGCATAGTATATTTCAGCCCACATATTTTCCCAGATACTATAATTTTGCCTCTATATAGAGTATCTTTTTTTTGGCAAAAATTTTATAAGACAAAACCCATAAGTTGTATCTATTTATGATTCTTTTTACCAAATATAGATGCTACAAAATTTGAAGACTTCTCAAATCAACTTCTGTTCCTTCTGGTGCAGAAAATATAGTTGTCCAATTAAAAACCGGGGCTCCATTCTAAAATGTCTTTTCTCAAGTCAAGATATCTCAAAGGGAAATTATAAAAGTAAAAAATCAAATCTTGTGCAACATTTTGAGTTCTCATTTCATTTGTCTTCTTTTGCTTTTGTGAGGATATAGTTCAATGTTTTCTGTAAGCTTTCAATTACTGCAATTTACTAAGAGCTTTGAAAGTTTTTTGGGGGGGCATGATGTGGCTTGTTGAATAATCAATTTAAGCTTTTCAATTGATCTTGAATGTAATGCAGCTAAAATGTAGATGATTCATTTAGAAAAATATTCATAGCCATTGTAAGAAACTCAGGTTGACTTACAAAGTAGCTCTTTAAAAGCTGAGAAACTCATGACTCAGATTGACGAAGGGAAGGAGAGAAAATGTATTATTTTATGCTGAAGTTCTTTTTGTTTTCAACATCAGCTTCATCACAAAAATATTCTATTTTATTTACTCTAAATGTGTGTATATACATGTATATATAAATTTTGAAAACACTTAGAATTTCTGTTTTCTTTGGTAAAATAGTGCAGCTTTATTAGGATGCAGTTGTAAGTTTCCTGCGCATTTGAATTCCAACCATGGTTCTGCTTCACATATTTTTTAACTTAGTAAGAATATTTTTTGGTTTTTTTTTACCCATATGTTGTACTTCATAAAATTTGTATTGTATTATTTCCACAAAATAAATAAATTTATCTTTAATATTTACTTCTTAATTAGATTATAACAGGATTTAAAATAATATCAGAGTTTTACCTTGGACAGAATGAACATCTAAAAGGCTTATGCTGGACGGGCGCAGTGGCTCACACCTGTAATGCTAGCACTTTGGGACGCCAAAGTGGGCAGATCATTTGAGGCCAGGAGTTTGAGACCAGCCTGGTCAACATGGTGAAACCCCATCTTCATTAAAAATAAAAAAATTAGCTGGGTGTGGTGGCACATGTTTGTAATCCCAGCTACTCGGAGGCTGAGGCAGGAGAATTGCTTGAACCTGGGAGAAGGAGGCTGCAGTAAGCCAAGATCATGCCACTGAACTCTAGCCTTGAGGGTGACTGTTTCCAAAAATAATAAAAATAAAAGAAATAAAAAATAAAGTTAAAAAGAGGCTTACACTAGGCCAGGTGCAGTGGCTCATGCCTGTAATCCCAGCACTATGGGAGGCCAAGGCAGGCAGATTGCTTGAGCTCAGGAGTTTGAGACCAGCTGGGCAACAATGGCAAAACCCCATCCCTATTTTAAAAAATTCAAAAATTAGCTGGGTGTGGTGGCTTGTGCCTATAGTCCCAGCTACTTGGGAGACTGAAGTAGGATGGTTTGAGCCCAGACGGCAGAGGCAGATGTTACAGTGAGCACAGATTGTGCCGCTGTACTCCAAACTGGGAGACAAAGCCAGATCTTGTCTTAAAAAAAAAATAATTAAAAGGATTAGGCTACTTCTACGAATTGAATTTAAAAAATTAAAATTATCTATATAAATTAATTGGTGTTCTGTTGAAAGCATCTGGTGAGCTAATATAATACCGGTATTATTAACTGGCTTATAAGACTGGTATCGCTATTTTAATTCTGAGAAATTCTTCTCCTCCTAATGTGTCAGTGCATTAACCAACATGTTCAGGTGCTCTCCACTGACCCTACTATGGTGGGAAGAGTTGCTTGTAGAAGCTGTAGCTTGCAGTGCCTCTCCCACGTCCACCTGAGCCTAGAAGGAGTTAGTCATCTCTACTACTCCTATCCAAGTAGGAGTGATCTTTATCAGTGATCAGGTTGCATACCGCCCTTGAAAGGAAGGTGCTAGTTATGTTGTGCCTTTTAAGTATTGGAGAAACGAGAGTGGTATTATTGGTTTTCTTACAGATTTAACCACACAGAAAAAAGATAATTCCAAAAAAAAAAAAAAAAAAAAAGATTCTGTTTGTTGCTTATGCATCTCACATGCCTTGATGAAACTATGGTAGAAATGGAAAGAACTGTCTACATGCCCATTCTAGATTTTCTTAATACAACTATTGACAGTAATATTTCATTTGAAAACTAAAAAAATGTAGGACAAAGCCTAAACCAGATAAAGTGCTAGGGCAACTTGTGTAAGCAAGGACTGTTTTAAGCAAATTAAGACATCTGGTCCCTGCAGTCAATGGCACTATAAATCAGCTACACCTTTTCTGTGTTTTTTCTTTTTTTTTTTTTAAATTGTTATTTGTTTTTTAAATTTCTTTTTAAATTGTTATTTGTTTTTTGGCTATGCCTTCTCTGCATATCAGAAACAGCGTGATGTAAGTGTTGTAAACTCAAGAAATAAAATACCACATATAGGTAAAACTTAAATTATCAAGACTCTAGAACTAGACAAGACTACAAAAAAATTTAACTATTAAGAAGGGATCATTGAAAAGTAGGTAATAAAGAAACTGAAATATGAAGAATTCTTCATGGATGAGACAGAACAATGAGGCTTTTTGGCCACAGAAGTCACCAAGTCCACAAGATGAGGATATTTTCATATTAAAAATACTTCGTCATGCATGCATCAATACTTTCCATTTGCTAGAGTGGGATGAGAGTTCAAGTAAAAGAGCAAGTTAAAGCGTACGCAGAGGGAGGGTTTAAAGACTGAAAGCTTTTTAAAATGATGTCAAGTGCTTTAAAAATGAAGAAATTTTAAAAATAGAAGACTTAACAAAAGATTTGAAAACAACTCTTTAGGAACGACTTTTAGTTTTTAATTATGTTTGGGGAAAGGTAGTCATATTACACTGATCAGAAAGTAAAGCAACGTTGCATTTTAAAATTCACTTTCTTGAAAAAGATAGGAGAAAAGAAGACGCTGAATTTAGTACTTTCTTCAGTGGAAATAAGGGGGTAAATTTCAATGAAACACGAAAAGAAATACAAAAGGCATGGACAGGTTTTCAAAAGTATTAGAAAAGGAAGGTTGGAATAAAAACATTCAAGGAAATCTGCAGTTACAACAGTAAGAACACTATACAGGGATCTTCAGCCAAAGAGACGGAGAAACAGAAGGAAGCATCAGGGCACAGCTTGCTGGGAGCCTGCAGGACAGTGAAATTGAGTTTTGTGTACTTTGATTATTAGGTCCTGGACATGAAGAATAAATTTTAGAAAAAAAAATCAACATAATTAAGAGTTGGCATCAACTGTTCCGAAAAGTCAGCCACACAGAGGGTGGCTCTCTACACCCATTCTCAGAACCTGAGGTGTTACCATCAAAGATCCCCTGGGGACAGCCTGCAGCCAGGAAACCCCTTTGTTTGCAGTCCTTTCAGATCTTCTTTCTGTGCCAACTTCCAGCAGCACAATCAAGCAACTTCTTGGAAGAAATAATATTACTTGTAACAGAATACCATTGTGGTTACTCACTCTAGCCACCACTGATTCCTGACAAGGATTCTCACGGAACTGAAGGAATTACAGAGCTACTTTAGATTTATAGCAGCATCCTACTGTACAAATACAGACTTGTATTCTACTTTTAAAAAATACACAACCAATAGCAACTTTTCTATTTGTCTATAGGACACTGGATCATATAGGAAGTTTCCATTAGATAATTTAATGTTACTGATTCAGTTTCCCACTCGGCCATGGCAAACCTGATTGGCTTTATGCAGAATCAAAGGAAAACTCAAGGCAACTGTTTCTCCATCCAGTGCAGCTGTTCAGGAGACACCATGGGCAAGGCGGCTGGCTGTCAACCCAGTAGCTTCCTATGAGAAATAATTCACTATATGTCACATGAAGTTGAAGATGTAGCCCTTCAGGGGATCTGGGGAGAGTCACCCTCAGCTCTGAGAAATTTCCTGTGCTTCTCAGAGGCAGTCTAAGTGCTAATGTTTCCCTTCTCTTATGGAAATGCTTGGTGCTTATTGTAAATCCAGAATCAATACTTGGATTTTCCTCTGTGGGCTGGAGTCTA